AGTTTAATACTGGCAACAATGTACAGTGATCAGAAAGTTTTTTTTTTTGATTTACAATATAAAAATTCAAACCCTTTAAATTTATTTCTACTGTGATTTACAATATTCATAATTCAACAATACAATCCTACTAAAAATATGTTTGTTAAAATTTAGAAAAACGTGTTAATTTATTATATAAAAAACCAATGGTAGTATGCTTTCCCATGTTTACACAGAGACTGTAGCAGCATTGCCATTACCACCACCATCTTTTAATTCTTTTATTTTGCTTTGATTTAGCTGGGCTCGGTAAAATGCTTCTTTTGCTAGGTAGTTCTCACGTTTTATTTCATCTTTCACTTTTGTGGGGACGTCAGGGATGAGGTAATCAATGAACCACTTCAAGAAAAACACAACATGCTGCAAAAAATAGAGAATAAATGGTAACAATAAGCATGCACATTGTCAGAGTTCCTTGATTCAAATGTGACATTGGGTATTAAATTGTAAGTTATTAAGAAATATTACTGAAAACAAGTCATGAATGTCACAGTCTCCGTTATTGAATTATAAAATAATCATGTTAAAATAATACATGGAACATCTGCAAACAATTGAATTAATATGTACTCTATGTGGATACAACTCATCATAAAGTTATTTCCCTTAATCTGAAAAAGGGGGGGTTGACGGAAGGAAATAAGGCTACGCCTGAGCAGGGACTAATTAGACTGATGTAATCACACGATGTCATTCAGCATATAAATCATATCAAATATGGACAATATGCGCAGATAATTTGCCTCACCATTTGCATTACTTTGCTGAAGCTTTTCAGTGATTTATTGTGAATTTCAAGGAAGTTCATTCCCTGAATGAAGAAGCCTATGCTAACACGACAATTACAAAACTTAGAATTCTCACCTCAAAGACGACAACAAAAGCCAGCCTTGCAGCTAAGACATGCCAATGTTGTAAAGTACGTGCATATGGCTCCATACCCCATGGTGGTTGCCGATAATCTTTATATCTGAAAACAGATAAAAATTACATTGGAAAAAAAAAAAATTCCACATTTTTGTCATTTAATTTTAGAAGACAGGGAACCTACTAACAATATTGTAGTCTTAGAGGAACCAAATTATGAAGATGAACTAATCCACATCATTAAAATCTGGTTGTGTGGAATATTACTGTATCTCTCATACCATTCATATGTTTCCAACACAATACCATATTTCTCTATTGGTAGTGCATGTGCTAACAAACATATGTGTGTAAATTATAGATACATGTACTGGAAAATCTAAATTAGAAGCTGCATCGTTAATAAAAGCCCTACCAATTTTGTTTTTAAGAATTTACAACCAAAAATTCACCATTTCTTATAAGTGTAGATGCTTTAATAGAAACTACATTCCCTCTGTTACATTGTATCATTTTTACTACAGATTTGACAGTAATAATTATAATTTATAATTTTATTATATAGATAATAATTAAAAAATATAGAAATGAACAATCAAATCAGTATTACATACCTGCAGATAGGACAATCTCCTACATCTGTCCATGGACAACTTGTGTCTTCTGGTGCAGTTCCTTCTTCGAAATCATTTGTGTCAAAATAAGACAAAGAATTGTTGACATATCCTGTCAATGAACCATCCATTGAGTATCTAAATATGTACACTAATCTTGGAACGAATTCCGATGTTATGGCAATCACAAAGGCCTGTCAATATAAATGAAACATCAATGTTAAAGTAGCAAGCTTAATGCTGTAATGCAGATTTAGGATATTAATATTCATAATTTCATTATGATAGAAAGATGGTCAGACAGTCTTCATGTAATTCCTAACATGAAATGTGGCTTCTGTGGCAAGAAGCAGATGCAATTTTCACATAAAAAATCAAGAAGAAACAACATTAACACTTAATGTACAGAACTGCTACCTTGCACACAAAAACTAAAAATTAATAAATTATGTTGTTTTTTTGAAATTGAGCTGTACTCCATTGCAAAATCAATATTTTGGCAAATGTTCACTTACATTTGTAACCACCGACAATTTACCAACACCATCCAAGATACCATACCATATACCTAGAAAGATAAAATGTCATGACAGAGATGAAAGTTACAAGCATGGATATGAGATATGGAGGTTAGGAGATATGGCACCCTGGAAAACTGAACAACAGCATGGGAATCCTTGCATTGCAAAAATGATCACTCTGATTTTCATTGCCAGTATATAACCCACTATGCACGAGTGTGCATAATAGCATGTTCTACACATGTATGCGTGATACAACAATAAAACTCCCCATAGAGGATAAATATATAATATAATTATAACTTTAAAAAAAAACAGATATTATACACTTGCAACTAAAGAGTCAAGCACTCATTTAATAGGTCTAATTCAGCTACAGTGGTAATGGCAATGTTAAAAATGTTGGAACATCAGACTACTCGCAATAAATGTATCAGACTGCTATTTCTAAAACCAGTTGTTTTTTTGGCTAAAATTCAATTACATGGCTCGCTCATTCTGATACAATACAAAAGGAAACAGTTTGAAATGCAAGGTGAAATAGAGAAATTTATTTTCAAGAGTGACTGAATGCTCCAGTGCCTTGGTACAATTATTTGTGTTGTGAAATGGCATGTCATTTTATAAGCTTCACAAATCACACATATTGATTCTGAATACCTACCAATATCTTGAGCTCTGGCTGCTCTTGGTCGTCTGAACTGAGTTGTGAATTTGTAAGCGTCTAATCGGATTTCAATAATGTTATTTATCAAAGCAAACAAAGGAGCCAATGAGAATGCAGCAACAAACAGCGTGACAAATCCAAACTGTAGTACTGAAATGAAAGTTCATCCAAGTAAATAACACAACTCAATAATCTCTTCAATGAATAGATATTTTGTGTTTTTATTCAGGTAATGGACATAAAGCCCATATAACCAGAATACAGAAAATTACATTCCAAAATGTCATGAAATAAAGTTAGAAATTAACAACATATACATATCATGATTAGAAGTTTGCTGTCATTGAACATGTACATTCGTACATGTAGTGGTTTAGAACAGTTATGTAGAGAACAAAACAAAACACAAGTTTTAATTTCCCTGGGAAGTTGCTACATTATTATAAACTTGTGACAGAAAAGGGGCATGTTTGAATAAACATGCGTGTATTTTGTTCCTCGACAAATGTACATATAGATTCCAACTTCATTGCATGTGTATGAATGAAAACAGATTTACCAGATTTTACGAACTATCAAATGTAATGCTGATGCATACAACACAGAACCAACATGGCTGAACGTGGCTGAAACATAGTAAAATTTCTGCAGAAAATTTAGTAATTCTGTGATCAGAAATTAATGAATGTCAACACTACACACCCCACCCCCACCTGGATATGGTAATAACGCCGTTATGTCCCCGGAATTGGTCTAAAACTTGGTTTAAATCATTATAACAATCAAAAGATTGTGTTCACACCACCAACTCACGTGAGAATTCATGTGATTTGTAGAAAATTAAAAGAAAATTTCAAAACTCACCCATTTCTAAATACTCATCAAACAAACCATGTTTGTTAGGAAGTCTAAGGTCATAATCTTGTTCCCATCTTGAATACACATCACCCTCTTCCTTTTCCTTCTTCTTGGCACTGCGAGCGCTACACCAATTCATGAATTTACTGAAACGTCAACAAACATGTAATCAAAATTAAGCTATTTTTTTATTATGCAGACAGTTCAGGTAGGAACGAAACGTTTTACTATCGAACTGTGGCACTTTGTTTGGGTTTGTTTGCGAAGTCAATGTTTCTCAAGGGAGTCTTTTACAATCAAACTAATAAGGTAGGGTTCGGGTAAGCTTAGGGAGGTAATCTTTCTCCTTCCCAGAGTTCCTTGCGGTTAGATTTTGTGGTGAAACACCACAAGACTTTTACTACGCGTGTCATTTGCGTATTTTTGTTATTAGAGGGCTCTCGTGTTGATTTATTCCTACTGGAAAACAAGTTTTAAAATATTTTATCGATAGCTGATAACGATTTTTCCGTAAATCCACTGTCAAGGGTGAAATTGTTATAATTTACAAAAGAAAATAATTTCATCGCGGGATAACGGTTACTAAGGTGTTACTTGGTTCATCAAACTGACCGTCCTGTCGTTTGCCAGACAAAGAAATATAAAGAAACGATTGCACTTAGGGGTATTGACGGCTAAATCGTCCTACTGTCACACAGAAAGAAAAAAAAAGCTTCTAACTTTGAAAACGGCCAGTATATGCAAACATCGCGTACACATTCGTCGGGTTCGAAAATCGAACACTTGCATGGCAATGTTTTGGTGAGCATCTTTGAAAGTAGTTCCACTGTGATGCATCGACCAATCAACGACAAGCATAAGATCGCGTGGTGGCAGAGATATATTCATAATAGAACTCTGCCTGGGAGATTGGGAGGTAATGTCATACATGGGAATGTTTTACTATCAAACTAAGGGGTCAGGAGTAAGAGCCAATATCTAAAATAAACTTCAGGATTCTCATGAACTGTTCAATATTCAAGGTCCTCATGCAGGAGTCAGTGAGAGGTTTTACTATAAGTCATACAAAGTGGGAATACAACTTAATTATACTTACGGAACCAGAAGTTCCTGACAATTATTGTAGGCTTGTTTACCAACCATAATAATAGCTAACTGAAGACAGAGTTCAGGTAAGCAACCACCTGGATCACACTGTAATGAAAATATGAGAGATGAGAACTGAGATGACACAGGAAATATAACTGCGATGACACAAGAGTTATAAATGACATAACACAGAAGTTATAACTGAAATAAAACAAGTTATAACCAAGATTATATAGGAGTTATAAATGAGATGACACAGGGGTAATAACAGAGATGATACAGGAGTTAGAAATGAGATGACAGAATATAATTTAAAGTAAACATAATTACCTCTTCAACTCTAAATCCAAAAATAGTGTCATACTCTCCAGGGTAACCTGTCAATCTGAAGATAACAATAATTACAATCACCTTAAGTAGACTTTAAAGACTGTGTGTTGGGTGCACAGGAGGTGTAGGTGTGTGTAGAAGAGATGGGGCAATGTAGTGCTATAACAGGTGAGTCTCTTTAGAACAAGTCTTTTTTTTTTTTAAGTTTTTTTGTGCCCGGCGACAGTTCCGGACATTGAATGACACTGTTGTCTCTCCTGACTTTTTTTTTGTATGTACAAATTGCAAGTGCTAGTGCTGCCGCAGAAGTCATATTCATGTTTAGGACTACATGACAGGGCTGTGCGGCCATCTTCCTATCAAATGGCAATTTAATGTGCTATTCTGGCGTCAACCAGGCTCGTTCGAACACAAGCACCTGCGGACCAAAGTCGCATTCGTTAGTGAATGAATCTCAGCCAGTGGAATTGGCCTTCTCATTGAGTCTGTGGCACACTAACCCAGGGTAAGGGTTGACTCTTTTGATGTTCAGCCTAAGGTAGGATTTGAACTTGGCTCTACCTATCATGAGTCTGATGCAACAACCACTATGCTACCATGCAGTGACCGGTCTCATTAGAACATGTCTGTATAACATTTTTTAGACAAATGAATTCAATTGCAACAATCTAGCTCAATGTACTGTATAATGTACTATAAGGGAATTACCAGTATGTCATTGACTACAAACACTGGCACAGGCAGGACTGTTTGCTGGTATTTTACTGAATCATTGCTATCAATTACTGTTATGATGTTAAGGTAAATGTTACTCTTCAATTGTCTGACATTTGAAACATACAAATTTTACTTACTGTCCTTTGAAAAATGCAATGTAAAAGATAGAGCTATAGTAGTTAACAAAACTGAAGAGATACATCTTGAAAGTAAAACTGTCTTCCCACTCAGTTTCAGTTCGATGCATTTCTGTGGAAGTTAAATAAATGTGATCATTAACAATAGCCCTGTATTTTAAGCACACTCGCTGATCTTCTGTTTTCATATATGTATATGCAAATAAATAGATAATATTTTATTTTCAAGGGCTATCATTGTTGGCTAAGACAGATCATGGGTATTGGGGCATGTTTGGCCATAAGATCTGGTATTAAAAGTGTCATAATAAGGGTTTTCAATAGTTTTTAACAGTTGATTTTAAATGATACACAGTCCCTGTTATATAACTGAGATGACATACAAGTTATTTGTACAAGGCCAGACTTTTTTTATTCCTTGTTTCTCGAGGAGGGCGAAAAAAAAAAAAAATTAATTATTTTTTCCATTAGATTTGTGTGATTCTCAAAGAATTGTAAGTAAGATCATTGATTGGAGAGAAGAAATGAAATAAATTTTTATTCCATGTATAACCTGGTTGGCAATGTCGCCAATTGGGGCACAATTTTCAGCATTAATGAGGGATTTCTCGGTTTTTGACGACAGAGTTTCACAGCATGTCATCACAACCCACGCCGCCGTCATATTCGCCTAGTAGTCTCAAGTAGCACGCAGAGAGGTCAATACCTGAGATTCACCGTCAGCCAACTCGCATAAAGTATATATCTGCGCGAGACTTCGGTACTTTGATCATGATACTCCCATGAAAATGCAACTTGGATTTGTTAGGCGGCGGGCGAAAAAAAAAATGAAGATTAAAATAATTTTTTTAGCAATTTTTTGCACTCACAAGTTGGAGGGCGCAAGAAGTTACGCTGAAATGAAATTTTATTTTTATTTCATTTTTGGCTCCTTTTCATTCGGCGGGTTCGCGAAACAAGGGATAATAAAAATCCGGCCTTAAGAATTCAAAGAAATATGAAACTTCAAAAAAATGAATAAAATAAAATAAAACCAGAACAATTTTAATGACAATTTTAAATACAATTATAAATAAAAAATAAAATTCAGCAGTGACTACTCACCCATATCTGTCAACCAAACAGCAATCTTTTCATAAATCTGAAATTAAAAACAAATATAGTGCATACGTATTCTCTATGACTTATTATCTACTACAATTAAGCTATTAACCATGGTCTTAATATGATAAATTAAACATAGTGCAACTATTGTGACCTTGCCTTATCAGCCCAAGGAAAAACTGTTAAGCCACAGCAATCTGTTTCATGATATCTTAAACTTTTATAAAAATTAGGATAACAATCACTGTAAAATCTGTATTAGAAACCACATCTTTTTATTAAAATGGTAAAATGCAAATGAGGGGATGCAGCTTCTATTGGAACATCTACACATATGAGAAATTGTAAATTTTTGTTTTGACAATTTTTCAAAAAAGTATGGATGCGACTTCTATTAGGGATGTGGTAATGAAAAACAACAACAATAATAAAAACAGACATTTCTGTATCAATTGCTTCTCCCTTATAAGTAATAAATATAGAAAATTGTTTTATTGAATCATAAAAAACATACATAGTATTTGTATCTGCAGCCTAGTGGTTACCTTGCTCCAATTATGATTCAGCAATCTGCTAATGTATTAATTCATTTCACTTACTTCTCAGAATTACAATATTTTCGGATCACAAAATGTTGCAAATCATTTGAACTGATGACACAAGTATTGTACATACCTTATTAAGAATCATAATAAGTACTAAGTTGATGACTGAGGCAGTACAGGTGGTAATGATTGAAGAATAAGAGCTGACAAATCCACTGGCAGTGGCTGCAATGGCAGATGATACGGCAATACGGTATACAATCACACCTAATACACATGCCAATACAAGACATAGCTAGAATACAGAGAAAATAATTCAAATAATCAGAAATATGACATTGTTAATAAACACATAAATGTAATTACAGATGTAGACAAGACAAGTAGTATGATCTTCATATGGAACATTGTTATCCTAATATGGAACATTGTTATCCTAATATGGAAAACTGTCATCCTAATATGGAACATTGTTATCCTAATATGGAAAACTTATCTTCATATGGAACATTGTTATCCTAATATGGAACATTATTATCCTAATATAGAAAACTGTTACCCTAATATGGAACATTGTTATCCTAGTATGGAACATCGCCATCCTTATATGGCACAATGTTATCTTAAAGTTAGACAATGTTATCCTAATATGGAACATTTTTATCCTAATATGGAACATTGTAATGCCAGTATGTAATATGAATAAACATTATGCGTTTCTCCTGGTAAGATGTTAGAATACACAATGAGATGTTGTCTTACCATAAACAAGATACCAGTAATTGCTGCTAGAAGTCTGGGAAATCTTTTATACCATACAATCCAACGTTCTTCCATCTAATCCATATATGGTACACGTAGTGATAACGGACAAATTGAAATGATGATTCACATGTGAATATGATATGAATGATTTAACACCATAATGACAAGTATTTTCCCATTTCCTCAAAGAGCTTTGTATCATTTTTTATGCTGAATTTGCATACTTTTACATCACAAATTTTGTGGAAACATTAAAAAAGCACTACTCAGTATAACACTTGATATCAATGGGAAAATACTTGCTTACCCAATCACCAACCCCTGTTGAATGGAAAATACTTTATTTAACAGGAATTAATTTCTGCTAAAAACACATTTTGGATGTTTTGTAAGAAATTTATTTTCACTGCTTTTTGATAAGTTGAATGTAAAATATAGAAAAAAAAAGTATTTTAATTGAATTTCATTCTCAGTGATTTGACGTGAAAATAAAGTATTTACAGTAATATAAATCAACATGGGTCTGGCTTATGATTATAATTTGACTGTCTGTGAACTCATATTTTCTGTGATCAGCATAAAACAGTGCTTTCAACTGCCGAAATTATGAGTGATTCGGAGACAGTCAACTAAGTTTGCGACTCTCACCATAAATAAAATAACCAGTGCAGTTGCACAAAAGCGTGGAAATCTTGCCCTAAATGAGACATAGGGCTCTTCTTCCTGTTTCGTAATTGATATATTATTCAGGAAACAAGAAAATCGAGAAGAAAAGGTTTGTATTGGTTAGTGTTAGTATGAGTTAGTTAGTCAGTATGTATTGGTTATTTGCCAGTGTTGGTATGTAATTGTTAGTTGGTCAGTGTTGGTATTTATTGGGTAATAGGTTGGTCAGTGTTGGTATGTATTGGTTAGTTGTCAATGCTCGTATGTATTAGTTAGTTGGTTAGTGTTGGTATGTATTAGTTGGTTAGTGTTGGTATGTATTGGTTAGTTGGTCAGTGTTGGTATGTATTGGTTAGTTGGTCAGTGTTAATATGTATTGGTTAGTTGGTCAGTGTCATTGAAATAAATAAAGGATCCATTCCAATGTATGTTAATACATCTGCAGTACATGTTTACATGCTACACATTAATAAGAGGTGATTGTAATCATTCAAAGTACTAGGCTAGATGTGTTCAGGCATATCACAGATGCAGACAGACTTAAGTTAAATTATAAGTCCCCTTTTTCGGACTTTATGGGAACGGGTCTAGGACTTAACAGGACGCTAAGGCAATTATATTGGTTCCCCTCAATGAAATATAGGTACCGTATTTACTCTATTAGAGAGTATGTGCTAATAAATTACAGATAATATTTGGATAATTCAAGTCATATTTAAATAATTCAATATATAACAAATATGATTTTTGGTATTTTTCTGCTTCCATAAGAGCAAATATGGTACATCCCGAGAGAGGTATTGGTTCTTGTTATGCAAATTAATAACACCTAGTTTAATAGCTTTTAGAAAATGTACAACCCATCATGTCTTAAAATACCAAGAATTCACTGACAATAATGCATCACTGAGCAGTGTATCAAATTTACAGCTACAGATTTGATTTTGTTTAATTAGTTGGAAGTTTTATACACACAATTATCTTTTGCATTAATACTGAATATTAACAATGTAAAACTACTATAATTAGAGTTCATTTTAGGAAATATTGAAGAATATTAGAAAAACACACATACACACATACAGACAGGGTAACTGCAAAGACTCCCATTGTGTGCTTCACACACAGGAGTAAAAAAACTTTGGGCGAGAAAGTCTAGTGGTGAAAAAGTTTGTAAAGGTTTTCAGCAAGATTATATACAGCCTCCTAAACAAAATAATGATGTTTCTCTCATGGCAACTCAATTTAAACAGTGTATCAATAGTATAAACTTTTACTAAAACATGAAGTTAAATAACCTGGAGCATGCTCTTTGGTGGGCAAATATTTGTCTTTTTCTTTTTTCTATAATTTTTCTTTGACATAACTGAGTTTCTTTTTCTCATGCATATAAGAATTGTTTTGCAGATACGAGTGTTATCAATCATTTTCAAAGGTATCTACAATACCCAGTTTTGAAAAACTGGCACAATTTTGTGGCATTTTTTCAAATAATGGCCAAATAATTTTAGGGTCAGACAGTAAAAATAGTAGATTTGGTTATAGGAAACATACAAATTGTTTTCTTTATGTCTAGGTGCAAGACTATAAAGTAAAGTATAACAAATAACCAGTTTGTTATTATAATGTTACCAAATATGGATATGTGTTACCTTAGTTACAGGATTGATCCTTGTATCAGGTGCTTTTGCTTCAAATTCTGGACGAGTGTTTTCCTGAAGACCAAACAAAAAAACATTGATAAAGTTGCTGTAGTTTGAACAGCAAAATGAGTGGTACCAACAAAAAATAGTTGAACGCGTATAGATGAATTTGTTATAAAAGGAATTACAAAAAATTTCATTTCAGATATCACAAGCATGATTTCATAAAAACCATTTTTGAACTTCACCTGAGTCATTGAATGCTACCCAATCATTGAATGTATCTCGGGTCAATGAACAATCATTGAATCAGTCTAAACGTATAAGTGGCCGTTGGAGGCGCTGTTCACATCTGAAAGAGAGGCTCTAGAACACCATGATTGTTGTTTACATGGGACCCTTCGTTTGGACTAGAATGACACACAGGTCAATGACACACATTGAATACCACCTGTGTTCATTGTGGCGAGCCTCCAGGTCTTTTATGTTTTCTGGGTTAAACTTCAATCATGTCATTAAATGTCACCTAGATCACTAGATGGTACCCCGGTCATTGAAGGCTATGTGATTGAAGTTCAGCCAGGGTACAAATGCTTGTTGGGTGTGACTTTGGTGATTGAATGTCATCAAGATCAGTGAACGTTACCGAAGCATTGAATGTCAGTGGGTCGCAATGAAAACACTGTATAATAATTTAAAGAAAAAGCTCCACAAATGTAGGAGAATGCAATTTAAAGTCTTTTTATATCACTTTTCATTCCTTAGATATTCAACTTTACATCAGTATTATGTAGTCAGCCATCTTGATTCTCATGCAAAGGATTATGGGTAAAGTATGACATCATAAATCATGTATATTTGCTATCACATGACACAAATGTACTTTATTTGGAATATATTCTCACCTCATGGTCTTCAAAACCAAACAGATCCCAGTCATACTGAATTCCAAACTGTTTTCTTTTCCAGAACTCCATGAATAAAGTTGCTGTAAGTATAGACAACATCAAAAAGAACCATTTCAAAAACTAATCCTTTATTTTCATAACGAAAATATGAAGCAGTATTACCCATAGAAGTAATAACTGGTAATTATGATATAATTTTAGAAATTTCTTCTCATTTGATTTACTAGAGTGGTACATAAACTAAATCTCTCCATAAATGACTTGATTGGCACATGCAATGGAAATACGTATAAATATGCTAGTGTTGTCACTATTGTTGTTAAAGTTGTATCATCAGGAAATATTGTCTTTTGCATGTGTATTTCAATAAATAAAACAACTATGGTATATGTCCAAGATATCTACATCAGTATTTTATAGTCAATAGCCATACTGAGCATTTTTGGGAATCGGTTGTGACTGAATTTTTTTAAGGGTTTCATTAAGTGACAGAATCACACACAAGATTATCTGTTTGATGGTGCATATTACAAAATAATATTCTATAGGAAACATTATCCATTTAGATTATAGCCCAAGACCTGATGTAAGCCCTGAAGTCCCTCTAATTTGAATTCATAGGATGACTACCGGTATTTTATTCAGACATGCTACCACTGTATTTGAATGAATTTTGAGCATTACATACTTTCTAAATTACTTGTGTTTAGCACACACCTAAAGCCAAATAGGAAATACAAATATCTCATTCAATGAACAATGCAATATGCCAGGATTCAATCACTATAACTTGCGAATACCATAACATTCAGATTTGATTTAAGGCAGCTCAAAATTAGAAGGTTTTCAATGTTTTGCTGTCAATACAACTTTATTTTGCCTTATTTTGAATAAATTGCAATGAAAAATGCATTTTTTATAGAGAATAATGAGTCAAGCTTCATATAAATAAATCTATCAACACAATATAAACGCAGAATAATGTTTGTATAACACATTGCAGTAACAAAAAGGTTTGAACTTCAGAGGGCATCAATTTTCAATGCAAAATTTGATTACCCTGGTATGGGAATAGTAAAGAAAAAATCTGTATTTTCCAAAAAGCACAATTATTTGGACATTAATGCCTTCCTGAAGTTCAAGCCTTGTAATGTGTGAAGCACTTTCTCAATACACATGGTATGATTAAGTAGAAAGATGTTACAGAACGTTTTCTGATTACAAGCAGTGAGATGTGTTATAATTAAGTTTAACTGAATTCTATATTCTACATAACACTCAAACACACGTGTGTAATGTTGAATAAAAGAGGCGATGTCTGAAGATTGACTATTAGTGTTCAATAAGTAATGAACAAATAAGTTGTAAACAATGAGCATTGAAGATAGACAAGTAGTAATTAAATGCATGTGAGATTCAATGAGTAATTATCAATGAGTGATGGTTCAATTATACCCAATGTAATCAATAAACACATATTCAATGAATATTTTGATCCAATGAAAATGTATCAATGTGTGTGATTGTTCAATGAGACCACAATGTAATCAATAAATACATATCAAATGAGTAATTTGACTCAATGAGTACTTGTCAATGAATGTTGATGATTAAATAAGACCCGGTGTAGTTCTGAAGCACTGAGTGTCATGATTCAATGAGTACTGATGTACAGACAGCCATAGTTCAATGAGCATGCATGGTTCAATGACTAATGATGTGTAGTCATTCAAAGACGATTATTCAATGATTGCTGATTCAATGTATTCAATGCAAACTAATGTAATAAATGAGTGCTGGTGCAATGAGTAATGATACAACAGGAGCAATGCTTCAATGAGTACTGATCAAATGTGTTTTATGGTTAAATGAGTACTGATCCTATGGGAGCTGTGGTTCAATGAACCAATGAGTGTGGATGTTATACAACAAAAACCGGTAAATTGCAGTTTTTGACATCATAAAATGCAAATATATTATAAAACATACATCAAAACAGGACAAATCAAATGGGATGAACTGAATGAAAGTGAAATGTTAACATTGACAGTTATATATTTCAATGTTAAACATTACAAATGATAAGCTTACCCCAAATTGCCATTATAAGAGCCCAAAAACTAGTAGACTCATTATCAAATATACAAGCAATCTGAACAGATCATGCAATGCATGCAAACAGGAATTAAAGAGAAAAACACGCATATTAGCAAGCAAACAATAAGGAAAATATTATTGAGGATTAAAGGCAGGTTGTGTAAGTGTAAGACAACCATGCTGGACAGAATCAAAGAAAGCTAGGTCAAAGGTCAATTAAAGGTACATTTGATGCATATGTATATCAGCTATATTGCTGGTAAGTTGTAATGGTGTACTTGTAATGGTGTGTGTTAATGTGTGCAAACGGTTCCACTTTCTATACAATGAGGAAACAGATAAAGAAGAAATGAAATCCTGGAGAAAAGAGAGAAATGTTAGGTAGCAAATTGTGTTTTTTGTTTTGACTTGCATCATGTTGGTGTACTAAAGACTACCCTCCTTATGAAATACTCGCCTACTCACCCCAGGATGTCATGAAAAAGGCATTAAGGAGGGTCATCTCATTCTCAAATATAGCTATGAACTGACGTCACATAAATTAATAAAACATAAAATAAAATAGACTCTTAAAGTGAATTAGTAAAAATAAAATAAATGTAATAAAGACAAGTTAAAGACACGCTATAAAAGCATGCAAAAGTCAAAGGTCAGGGGTCACCATAGCTACTCACCCCACAACGAAGACACTAAAGCGAAGAAAACTGAAGCATAATTATCGAAGAGCAAAACTATCTGTAAATGTAACAATATAATTCTGTAGTGTTAGTACTGCAGGTTAGTACCAGTAGAGTTCAGTCTAGTCTCACATTGTGTTTGAACCATCGCCAGTGTGCCTTCAAACAAAACTGATTTTGTACGAATCCTGAGTCAAAATAGAATCCAAAAAAATCAAGAAAAAATAAATATTGTATATGACTGCAGGAGTTTAACGAAAAAAAACTAAACTGTAGCAGCGCCTTTTGTTTTACATCTATTTTGTTTTAATATCTTAATTTTTTTTTTAAATTACAAATTCTAAAAATAGAAGTAGTTTTTCAAGGAGATTTATTACAGTATTAGTGTACAAGGAAATGAGCAGTAATAATTGCATCACAAAAAATATCAGTGAGTCAGTAATGCAATCAATTTGATTTAAAATCAGATCTTTTTTCTTCCTTTTATTATTCTTTTAATTGTTCATTTTTTGTTTTTTTTTTAATTTAAATTTATTCTCTTACCGGCAATTCTATTTTTTAATTTTCTGACTGCGTAAGCCCAATGATCTGAACAACCATCATATTATCATTTGTGAGATCTCAAATTTACTAGATTAGTCAACCAATCAAAGAAGGTCTTGTATACAGAGAATATGCCATTATGTCCAACCATTGCCTTCTCTGTCTATTTATTGAAGTGTAGAACAAGATCTTTTACATGTAAGGAGATTGTTTAGATTTTTGGGTTTTCGCAATTAAACAATTACTAAAAAAAAAAAATTATGGAAATAAAAAAAAAGTCATACACCAGAAAAAATGAACAATTAAGCCCAATTACAGTAGATCTGCAATTTGTAAAACTAACACCATAGAGGGCACACTGATAATCACTACACATTTTTGCTGTGCTCTAGTAGTAATAATCTGAGTCCAAGATAACGGTATGTCCTAAGATGAAAGTTATCCTATCCATGAAAGGAAGCAATGTGTTAAAGATATTTTAAACTGTCAATATAAAGTTTATTTACTAGGTTTAACTAACTTTCACCCCAACATGGAAGGCGAGGTTAACTGAAATCCATTACTCCAGGTCCCGTACCTGACATCGTACTTGGATTAAAAAGACCAGCCATGGTCTGGGGTTTGTTTCAGGTGATTATCATTACAAGTATATGAGGGGAAAAAGTGAATACAGGATTGATTTAAACTGCTGATGACTGTAATAGAAATTGTAACTGAAAAATGCCAGCAGGAATTAATTCTTAAGAGTTTTACTGCAGTAGTGTTACTCCAACATAGTACAGATAAGAGTCTGAAACAGAGCAGCAGTAAAAGCTAACAATAAAGATGTCACAGTTCTGCAATGAATAAGAGTTACTATACTTATTTATGAAGGAAAAGATAAAGACATGGTTAGTAAATTCAGCTGGACCAGCATTCTGCCACACTGACTGCAATTGAAGCATGGTTAGTTGATTTGAGACCTGACTTTAAAAAGCATCTGTATATTATACAAGACCTAACTGTAGGTTGGCCATCTGGACATTATAGCAGTGCTGACTTTTGGGTAGCATCCATATGTAAGAAGAATCTTATCACTACTGGTACCTTTACCAATCCACATAACGGATGAATTGGGCTGAGATGAATGACAGAGTAATGTTGAGACAAGAGGTGAATATGAAGATTACAGCAGACAATGGTCTTCCCAAACATACGGACAAGTGTAGGTATAAACAAAAGTATGGAAGTGATATCCCACAACAGAAACACCCATAACATGAAGTACAATTGTCAGACAACATGTACATATCACAAGGACTGTCCTCCAGACTTGTTACATGAGAAACAAAAACAGAGTCAGCTGTGAAACTCAGCAATGTGAAAATTAGTTACCATGCAATTGCAAGAAAAAGCACAAACTTGTCGCAATCATGCAAACGCAGAAACAAGCAGTTGCATGAAATCAATGTTTACTCACCCCATAAAGACATTAGAATTGCTAGCAATGATGAAAGTTCATTGTCAAATATTTGAAGAAACTGAAATGAGAGTGTAATGAAATGAAGTAGGTAGTTACCAGTCATTTTATATATGGACAGGTTGTGACTAGATATTCCATATATGGAAAAACTAGTATCCAAAATAGCCATATATGGAAAAACTAGTACTCAAAATAGCCATATATGGAAAGACTAATATCCAAAATAGCCATATATGGAAAGACTAGTATCCAAAATAGCCATATATGGAAAGACTAATATCCAAAATAGCCATATATGGAAAGACTAATATCCAAAATAGCCATATATGGAAAGACTAGTATTAGCCAAAATAGCCATATATGGAAAGACTAGTATCCAAAATAGCCATATATGGAATGACTAGTATTAGCCAAAATAGCCATATTTAGAAAGACTAGTATCCAAAATAGCCATATATGGAAAGACTAGTATCCAAAATAGCCATATATGGAAAGACTAGTATCCAAAATAGCCATATATGGAAAGACTAATATCCAAAATAGCCATATATGGAAAGACTAGTATCCAAAATAGCCATATATGGAAAGACTAGTATCCAAAATAGCCATATATGGAAAGACTAGTATCCAAAATAGCCATATATGGAAAGACTAGTATCCAAAATAGCCATATATGGAAAAACTAATATCCAAAATAGCCATATATGGAAAGACTAATATCCAAAATAGCCATATATGGAAAGACTAGTATCCAAAATAGCCATATATGGAAAGACTAGTATCCAAAATAGGCATATATGGAAAAACTAGTATTAGCCAAAATAGCCATATATGGAAAGACTAGTATCCAAAATAGCCATATATGGAAAGACTAGTATTAGCCAAAATAGCCATATATGGAAAGACTAGTATCCAAAATAGCCATATATGGAAAGACTAGTATCCAAAATAGCCATATATGGAAAAACTAGTACTCAAAATAGCCATATATGGAAAGACTAATATCCAAAATAGCCATATATGGAAAGACTAGTATCCAAAATAGCCATATATGGAAAGACTAATATCCAAAATAGCCATATATGGAAAGACTAGTAACCAAAATAGCCATATATGGAAAGACTAATATCCAAAATAGCCATATATGGAAAGACTAGTATCCAAAATAGCCATATATGGAAAGACTAGTATCCAAAATAGCCATATATGGAAAGACTAGTATCCAAAATAGCCATATATGGAAAGACTAGTATCCAAAATAGCCATATATGGAAAGACTAGTATCCAAAATAGCCATATATGGAAAGACTAGTATTAGCCAAAATAGCCATATATGGAAAGACTAGTATCCAAAATAGCCATATATGGAAAGACTAGTATTAGCCAAAATAGCCATATATGGAAAGACTAGTATCCAAAATAGCCATATATGGAAAGACTAGTATTAGCCAAAATAGCCATATATGGAAAGACTAGTATCCAAAATAGCCATATGTGGAGGTAAGAAAAGAGTGGCTCAGGTCAGCCTGGAATAAATGAAATGAGATGTTAATTTTTAAGGTTTGACAGCTGCTTATAATGAAATAAATGAAAAATAATTACAAGTTGTTTAAATAAAAATGATTGTATTGTGAAATGTTGATTGTGGCATTTTCAGTCAAGCTAACAATGAGACATTGATTTACAACATGTACAGGTTAGAGAGACCATGCTGCTGATAGCAGATAATGAGTGGCAGGAGAGTAGAACTGAAAAAGAGATCGGTAAACTTCTCAAAAACTAACTATTGATTTTATCACTTGTAAGAGTGAATTACACACAGTCTTAGACTAGTATTTTGTATATTTGTTAATAATGTCCAGTTTCAAAAACTGTACAATGTTAGTTGTGCTGGGGGGAGGGGGGTTATAAGTTAATACTGATTGAAGAAAGGAGAAAATATTAGTAGCGCCTCCACCTGTGCAATTCACCAGTTATCTAGAGTCTTAGAATAAAGAAAAGAATAAAAGTGAGTTGTCCACACACACGTTAGACTGCAACTAGACCTGCAAACTACACTGTTGAAAGAAGCAGTTTTCAAAGCCCTTTTAATCAGTGCAATAGAAAATATCCTGAAAAAAAAGTTCTTGATGAAGTGCCATCATACGTACCCCACACAGACATCAAAATACTAAGACCTAGAGTGGTATAATTGTCCATAACCAACGAAATCTGAAAATGTTTATAAAAAGAAATTTGAATACATCACACCCCAAACTGCCACCAAGACATTTACAAGTTGGAAAGCTACGTTATCCATAAAAGATGAAATTTGAAATGCAATCATAAATGTATAATTTTACAATAAAAAATCTATTATTATGCAGTAGTAAAAATAATTATTCGCTATATGGCTAAGGAATCGGCAAATTAACAAGGCAACAAATAGATTATTTTAAATTTAGAATTTTTTTCAGCATAAAATAATTTTTGGTCAATTCAATTAACAGTGATTTTGTTTTTTGGATGAAAATAGATACAGACAGATGTAACATTTTCATTGATATGATACAGCAACGGCAGGTTTAGCAAAATATTTCAAGCAAACAACATTGGTCATTCTGATGGAGCATTGTAGAATGTAGATACAATCAGGAATGCCAAATTGGACAACAAAGCTGGAGTGCTTTTACTGACACAGGGTCAGGCAGTCATCCAATCCAAGATCTGATTTTCATGCATCATGTCATCCATATATGGTATTGACATTCCAAAAACATGGTGTCAAAGTCGTTCAAGCTGACAGAGTGATGCTAAAAAATCTATCCATTTTGACTGAGGAAATGTTACAATACATTGCTATAAAGCATTTTTTTCTCGCCATACGTCAGTAGTTAAGTTTATATCATGAGTAAAATAAATTGAAATTCACATTTTGTTGAAATCAACATTGGTATAATGTGTTGGGATCACCAGAGATCTAATGTGATGCACAATACCATCAAGTATTGCAGCAGTAACTATTTAAAAAATTTGCTTGATAATAATGATTTCCGTGCTATGTTTTGCATACAAATTTAAATGAAGTAAAATACATTTAATAATTAGTCTATTAAAATGAATTGGATGCACAAATTAATAAAGACCACATATTAATAGAGTTTTTAAAGTAAACTTGATTCTTAGGACAACTATGACTACATCAAACTGGATTTTACAAAGATAAAATGCAGAGACTTCTAATAATCTTTGCTGTAACTAAAATAAGAACAAATATTATAGTCGTTAAAATGGAAACTTCATATCCTCGGGGGCGGACATCCGGGCATTTTCTACCGCCTGGCAAACCTCGCGGTGAAAACAAAGACCAAAAACTCGCAGAAAACGGTACTTTGCGATGGTTGTTGAGAGTCCCCTGAACAGTGTAACAAAATTAGTCCTACATGTGTAACATATATGAATTTGGTTGTTCAGGATTACTTCAAAGTTGAGTTTGTGCTGTTTTCTTGAGTTTTCACCGGCTCCACCGGCGTTCCACAGCAGCGCACATAAAGAGGATACAGTATGTACAGTAAATGCATAATAATAATAATCATATTCATAATCATAATAACATCAGCTGGTAGCTGTTTAGACATACAACTGACAATATCAAAGATCGCATCTGGGTTTCTTTGCTGCTTTCATCAAATTACTACTTAACACTTTGAGCACCAAAGACAACTTCCGGAATCATCCAGTAAATAGTTTCATTTATAGTCTGCTTTTTTTCACATGAAATGTTACAAAAAATTTCTAATTTTTTTGATCAAAAACTAAAACCAATATCACATTTTATCTGTTTGGTCTAAAAATAAGATTGAATTTAGTGAAAATTACAGTAAATGTGAGCTATTCACTCAATTTTAAGCTAAAAATAAAGTTTAGCACTCAAAGGGTTACGCTGACACTTTGAGATCATTCCTAAGATATAGTAGGGGTCATGTGACTAGTATGTGAAATACTCAATAGTATCAATGCCTGTGAATTGCAGGAAATATTCAAAGAATCCTGAATTATAAGTTAAAGCTTTGTGAATCCAAGCATGTCAGGTGATTTTCAAATATTTTCAAAGAAAATTAGAACACACATTCGTACAAGATGCCTAGAACGACTGTCATCATGATGGTGAAAATTTAAAATTGCATAGACACATTCTGACCATCACAAAATTATCATAATTGTCTGAACACTCCAATAAAATCTTAGAAATGCTCTTGCATATTCAGACTATCAAATATTTCACATAATAGTCTCAAACCCCAATACAGCTCAAGGAATGATCTCAGAATGCATATTCAGACCATCAATACAGCTTTACAAATGACGACTGCAATAATTATAAATGTTGCTAATAATTTATTACAAGATATAATTTTGTAAGAATTTACCTGGGTATAGAGACAGCTTTCATAAAGTAACCAGTAGTCACACTTCTCATTACATAATGGACACATGGTTGTGTTACCCATGCCATTTTTGTCACAGGTTTCCTGAAATGATCAAGAGTGAACTGTTTGTAGACTGTAGAATAGAATAGAGTTTAGAATAGAATAGAATAGAATATCTATAGAAGCAGAACAGAACAGAACAGAACAGAACACAATAGAATAGAATAGAATAGAATAGAATAGAATAGAGTTTAGAATAGAGTTTAGAATAGAATAGAATAGAATAGAATAGAATAGAATAGAATAGAATAGAATAGAATAGAATAGAATAGAATAGAATAGAATAGAATAGAAGCAGAACAGAACAGAACAGAACAGAACAGAACAGAACAGAACAGAACAGAACAGAATAGAATAGAATAGAATAGAATAGAATAGAATAGAATAGAACAGAACAGAACAGAACACAATATAATAGAATAGAATAGAATAGAATAGAATAGAATAGATAAATACCAATTGTACAGGGTTGGTTGACATGGCGATGCAGCCATAGATGAAACAAAGTAGGCCAATGATAGCAGCTGGAAACAGTGCACACGTATAATAACCCAGCCATGCAAAATATATACCAATCTTTTCTCCAAAATATTTCCTATAATATAAAATTTAATCAGGTCAGAGGTAAAATCTTCAATTTTCAGTTAAAAGAACGTCATTATTAGTAACAATTTTGAAACTAGATCAAAAAATTTACAATTTATACTTTTTTTGCTGATATTGGCGCTTCCTTAAAGAAAATAAAAATTCTCACAAATTGTTTTTTGGCAAGACAGATTTTATGATGAGGATTTAAATTTATTGTCAATACTTCAAAATTCTCATCACTTTGGGGAGAGGGGTGAATATTTTATTGGTAAGAGTTCAAACTCTCCCCGATTTGGAGGGTGGCGGTGAACAATTTATTTGCAAGAGTTCAAACTTTGGGGGGTGGCGGTGAACAATTTATTTGCAAGAGTTCAAACTTTGGGGGGTGGCGGTGAACAATTTATTTGCAAGAGTTCAAACTTTGGGGGGTGGCGGTGAACAATTTATTTGCAAGAGTTCAAACTTTGGGGGGTGGCGGTGAACAATTTATTTGCAAGAGTTCAAACTTTGGGGGGTGGCGGTGAACAATTTATTTGCAAGAGTTCAAACTTTGGGGGGTGGCGGTGAACAATTTATTTGCAAGAGTTCAAACTTTGGGGGGTGGCGGTGAACAATTTATTTGCAAGAGTTCAAACTTTGGGGGGTGGCGGTGAACAATTTATTTGCAAGAGTTCAAACTTTGGGGGGTGGCGGTGAACAATTTATTTGCAAGAGTTCAAACTTTGGGGGGTGGCGGTGAACAATTTATTTGCAAGAGTTCAAACTTTGGGGGGTGGCGGTGAACAATTTATTTGCAAGAGTTCAAACTTTGGGGGGTGGCGGTGAACAATTTATTTGCAAGAGTTCAAACTTTGGGGGGTGGCGGTGAACATTTATTTGCAGAGTTCAAACTTTGGGGGGTGGCGGTGAACAATTTATTTGCAGAGTTCAAACTTTGGGG